CTCTCTCTCTCTCTCTCTGTGTGTGTCTGTCTGTCTGTTTGTGGAGTTGTGTATAGTGAACATGACAAAACACCACACATGCACACGGGTGGGTGCTTATGTGCATGCCCATCCATCCTCCCCTCCCTCCGTCCTTCCCTCTATCTATCCTTCACGCCCTACATGCCCCATCACCCCGCACTTTGGTGTCTGTCTGTCTGTGTCTGTCTGTGTCTGTCTGTCTGTCTGTCTGTCTGTCTGTCTGCCTGTCTGTCTGTCTGTCTGTATTCATCTCTCGAGCATGTTTCCCTCCTCGATAAGGATACCTGCGACGTTTTTCTCTGCAATGGTGAAGTGAGTCCAAAGAACATTTTGAGCAGTCGTCATTCACTATTGTATGCAAACATTTGTATGGCTTTGGAAATTTTGGCGATTGGTCTGTCGCATTCGTCCAGGAAAGGCGTGGCCTGAGGATGTTGGTAATAAGATCTTTCACAGGCCAACTCGAATTTTAAAACGTAGAAACAACCGCCCACTGCTGGGTAGCGGTGGGCTGTTGTTTCTGCGTTTTAAAATTCGGGATTGGAAGTTGCATTCTTAAACCAACACTATCTTTCACAGGCCAACTCGAATCGAAAATATAACCTATGCTGCATTCTTCGGAGGCGGGGCGCCGCTGGACCACAATGGCCGGCGGCACCGGCCAAAACCAGGAGAAAGGTTGCGCTGGTGCTTCAACAAAGCTTGGCGTGCAGTTCTATTCCGCCTTGGCAGGAAGAGCCTCGGAGGTAGTGGTCAGTACTCTCTACTGTCCAGCGCTCTCAAGAAACAAACAAATGCAAAGGCAAGGCCTTCGTTCGGCAGAACAGAAATTTTACGTCAGCAGACTCGGATGATTTTGTTCTATTTCTCACTAAGGCCGTAGAAGGCACGAAGTGCTCAGCCTAGACAAGACACACCTCTAGCCTTTTTCCAGATATCTGCGATTCTCTTATCTGGCATCAGATCAGACGCGAAGCGTCTGCTGAGCACCGTGCAAGGTCAGGACGGCATAGTGGAAACCCAAAACCCTACACCCTACACTCTAGAGTGTAAACCCTAACCCCCTAAGCTTGTCTTAATGAAAATGAGCCCTTGAAAGATACACCAAACATTACACAGCCCACTTTTATCACTGCTCTCGGCTGATCGACCAATATATGTTTTCCGATTGGGAACCATACACTGTGTGTGGCATAGCCAGAAAAGGAAAGTGGGAAAAAAAAAAAGAAATGTTTGGTAATGAAAAGTTGAAAACACTTTTCATTGTTTTCAAAGGTGTAGGTGAGTGGCACATGTTGCTGAGCTTTGGCCTTTTCGAGTTTTTAATGTTGGTGTCAACGTTTGAGAATGGCAAGCTGCCTTGTCCTCCCCTCCCTCTCCCCTTATCTTTGGAGGGGATCGCTTTTTGAAAATCTGCTTTCCCATTTCAACTCGAGTTCATGGGTCAGCTTCTTGTTATGTTGCCACTCATAGATGACCTTTCTTTTTGGGGGAAATTGATTACAATATCAGCCCCCTCCCCTTCTTCTCCCCCCCCCCCCCCCCCCCAACAAAAAAAAAAAGAAAGGCTTTCGATGGGGCTGGGATATTATCATCGGTCAAACCAGCCCACATATATTCCATCTTCTGTCTAATCTGCCAGGTTGCCCTTCTCAACCCAGGGTGACCTTATTGCCTTCCGGGGAAGTCCTAGTGGCCAGATACTCTCCCATGAGAGTAGAGGTTGCACCCAGCCCCACAGGATGGAGGTAGGTGGTTGATGACAGCCCGTCATTATAGGTGTATTTGGTGCAACTGTTTGTCCAGATGCAGCGATAATGAAGGGGCGTTCTATTCAGGCGAGGACGGTGGGTTTGCACCATAGACTGTCTCCAGCCTATATTAGCATTGTCTATAGTAATATACACAGAGAGACCCAACAATGTTGGCCAAGAAGGTCCTGCTTCCCCATGGTGGAACACCGAGCATGCCGAGGCAATAGGTGAAGCCAATGGGAATTGAACCCATGACCTCCTGAAGGCAACTTTTCTGCCTTAAGAACTGTGCTAGGCCTGCCAGCCATGTTTGGACACCTTCCTTGAGGTCGCGATTTTAGTGCACTGGCTTGTCTGGTAGGGTGCTTTATTGCTGTTGTGTCTTGCCTTGGTCTTTTCCTGTGTGTGTGTGTGTGTGCGTGTGTGTGTGTGCGTGTGTGTGTGTGTGTGTGTGTGTGTGTTGTCATATTCGCTATACAGGGTATACACTCAAAAAATGAGAGTATGACTGTGCCAGACTGTTTCGTCGGACTTTCACCGACTCATCAGGAGGTTGAACCCCGACAGATAGTCTGCTCAGGAGGATGCATTTGACTGATGGATATGGACTCCAATTTCTGCAAGTCACAATGTCATGTAGAGGTCATTCACAACCTTCTCGTTCAATGTCTCATTGCGTTCACCGTTCTCTTGAATTTCAATGTATGACAATGACATGTCAGTTACATCATCTTCCAAGTTACATAAATTATCGAAGTGCGGCGGAATCCATACTTCAACCATCTCGTTTACCATGTGATTGTCTTGACTATTCGATTGAGTTCCAATTTATGCAAGTCGTGTAAAATACGTCCGGCTCAATGCTCACACAAAATTGATCAAGGTGTGATGAAATCGAGAGTTCAACATAATTGTTGTTCAGTGTCTCATTGCATTCATTGTTCTCCATATTGATTGAACAGTGAGTGCAATGAGACACTGAACAACAATCTGCCAAGAACGGTAGTGTATGTGTGTGTTTGTGTGGTTGAAGAGTGTGTGTGTGTGTGGGTGGGTGGGTGGGTGTGTGTTCAATACAGTGAATGCCCATGAGAGAAAAGTGGTTGAAGTTACTCACACCAACACTGCAATCATAGCAGATTGTCGGTCCAAACCCCTGACAAGAACAGTAGTGTATGCGTGTATGTGCGTGTTTGCGTGTGTGTGTGTGGGGGGGGGATCCTCCTATTGCAGTGCTCATTCCCATCCATCTTACCTGATCTCATCCTCCTCCTCCCTCTCCCTGCCTTCGTTTCATCATATTCCCATGTGTGGCGCCGTGTTGGCCACTCTGTAGTAATCTTCCCCATCGCTTACCCTGTTCAAGTCCAGTGGTTTCTTGGGGGACCGGAAAAGCCTCCTCCACCCCCCGCCCCCCCGCTCGCCCTTAGGTGAGGCAAGACAATCGAACTCAGCAGGGCACCAGTACGTGCTAGTTTTACCGATACACAAGCTACACAATAGTGGACCGGAAAAGCCTCCTCCCCCCCCCCGCCCCCCCCCTCGCCCTTCAGGATAGTACAGTGTGAATATGCTCGTAGGCCCCGTAGCCATGCAGTTGCACCAGCAGAATAGTAATCTCTCGCCCGTAAATTCATTAACAATCAGGTGGGGTGAAGTCAGTGGATGCGGCCATGGATTCCTTCAGAATAGTCTCAAACACCACCAGTATTTGAGCCAGGTCCGCCCGTAAATGCCCCGGGCTACCTGGCTGCGTGCGCCCGCAGAGAACTAAGATAAGGGAGGCTCTGTATTTCTCTCGAAGGCTGCAAGAAGACCACCAGTGAGAACGGACATAAAAGTCGAAAATTGGACACTAACCTTTGAGAGAAATGTCCTCCTCCATCTGCATATGTGACTGCATCAAGTGCTTTCCGCTTTCCGATGTCATGGGATATATTTTTTCAACGGAAGAGGGAATTTGATTTGATGAGAACGTCAGTTTGAACTGTGAAATAAGCTTTTTCCGAAGTGTTCTGGACATTCCTTAACATTGGAATGATGCACAGAGAGAAGATTTACCCATGGACCCTTCGCAAGGATGACTCGCATAAATTGAGAAAAGGGTTTGCTTGTCAGTGTCCCCTTTCCTGCTATGTTGTCCCCAGTCAGTCAGTTCTGCTACGTTGAAGCAATACTTCCAGCTTGGGCCATCAGAAACCAAAAAGTCGGTGATTGATCATTGACGACACGTCGTTCGGCAGGGAGACGTCGCAAGATGATTCTTATCAATCCATTTGCTTGCAGCATCCCCACCCAACAGGTGTTTTAATTGGCTGAGTTGGGATTTTGAATCTACGATGACTTCCGGTTATGTCCGTGCGGTAGCGCTGGATAGAGAGAGTCCGACCCCGATTGGAGTTCCAGATGGGTTCAGCCTCTGGAGGG